ACATTTCACAATAGTGTAGAAACACATGAAATCATTTCACTTAACAACACATAGAATACTACAGACATACAGACATCAACAAAACAGTGGATGAAACAAAGTCCCTGAACTCTGTGTTTTGTGGAGACCATAAGCATTAAATAGTATATTGTGAATTGTGAAATACAAATTAATCACAGGTAGAGGAAGAGACCCTAGTGTATCTAGAAAGGCAAGAAAATAAAAATATATATGACTAATAACTTCATCTTTGAACACACTGAGTTTATCTAAGCTGCTTAAATCCATTTATTGAACACTACACAGCTTGCAAATATTATTTTTAGCTTCGAATATTTATGATATTCAGATTGACAATGAAAAGCTGCTTGATGCACCAAATCAAAACAAATTATTAAAAATCTACAAACTTAAAAAGTATAAAATTAATTATGTGAAGCTAAACTTTATAATAATGTTTATATGATTGTAGATTATACTGTTTTCTGAAACTATTAAAACTGAAAACTTCTCAAGGACTGTTTGGTCACATACATCCTTTCCATATGTTAAAACTATTGCCTGTCCTAGGGAAACTGGAGTCTAATAGAAAGTAAATAAATATTTTTTTGCTACTGACTTGAAAATGAACTTCCTTAATACATGGAAGAGTTTTTACTAAAGTGGATGGATCTTTTTTGTCTTTTTTGTCCCTTAGGGTGTGTTGAATTGGTAAAACAGGTAAATTTAAGTAAGAATGAAGGAAAGTATCTACCTAAGAGCAAGGCCTACTTTAAACTTCCCCAAATATTTAATGGTCTCATGAACAGATTCTCAGACTAAAGCTTCTAAAGGGACTTATAAATAGTCAGAGTGCTTCAGATGGTCATGAAATGAGGGCTCTTCACCCACAGAGACTAGAAGGGCAAAGAATCAAGAGGGGCAAGGAGAAACTTCCCTCTGATGTCAAAATGGACACAGCAGAATATTCTAGTCCCTTTCTCTCATGCTTCCTTTAATCACCTTCTCAAATGCAGGAGCTATACCCATTTCTGACAATATGTTTTAAGATAATGAAAGGGTTGATATACAATGCAGCCACATATCAAAGGCTATTTCTCCACCAGAATTTTCCATTTTAGTGTCATATTTTATATATCTCCCATTGGGCTACATCATCCTATATTTATATAAGCAGCCCAACCAGGTGCCGTGGAGACCATCATCATTAGTAAACTTTGAATTTTGTTAGTATAAAATGAAAAACTGTGAAGTTAAAAGCAGCAAGCAATTAGGAGTCCATATTTTAGACATAAAATTTTGAAACCTGAATTTATTTCTTCCATTTATAGAAACACTGCAATCTGTGCATGTCATATACCAGTAATTAATGGCAACATTTGCAAAGTTTTGCCTAAGTGGGAAAGAAAGTATAACTGGTTACCTACCTGCATCCAGAGTTGGAAATATTGAGATTCAGTATGAAAAGCAGAGCTGGAAAACAATTTGTTATCCTGGGGAAATATATAACCTAGACCTGAAGCATAAACTAGCACCTTACTTATGGAGTATAAACACTTCCATGTAGGCAGTTGCTTTAGAAGCTTTAGTGACATTTCCAGGAATTCACATTTCTATCCTTGCCAACGCGTTTCTCTTTCTCATTAGTCTCCTACTTTAAGGGGAGGATTTCCAGAAAAGAATTAATATTCTCCTAGCATCATCAACAGGCCAGCATTACACAGAGCCCTTTTGTGAATGAAAGCAAAGTTAATTCTAAATATATTAATTTCTTGTTTAAATCAACACATATAGAGAAGATTCAAGATGTAAAGCACTTCCATTTGATCCTCAAGACTTAGTGCTTTTTCTCTGTAAAGACTTTGCATGGGTAGAAAAGGATCTATGAAGTCTCAAAATAGAACATTTAAAATAAAGCAATATTCAGTTTCTATGATTGTTTCTAGCTGCCATGTTGAAATCTATCCTTCTCTGTAAATATGCCCACACTGGCCTCTTCTGTATTTTCATAAATCCAAACTAAGGTAACCCTCAAAGACAGAGTGTGAGTGGCCAGCTACTTAGAATAATTTAGATGAAAAGTGGAACTAGTCATTCTTACATTGAGTCCATGTTCCCAGAAAGGAGTTATGCTATTGTTTTTAGTTCATTTCTTTTTCCATTAGTGCTTTTAGAACTGATTTTCATTCATCCCTGACTATACTGACTCTTTCTGAGCATGTTCTGAATGAGTCACAAGAACTACCATCGTAGGTTCTGATGCTAGTGCTCAGAACTGTTCATTTGGGAAAAGCTCCTCCTACTCCTGTGGGAGATATGACAATGTGGACTTAGAGAATATATTTTATGGATTTAAGCAGCTTAGATTATTTTAGTGTTAGGTCAGATTGGTAGACAAGTCTCATTTCTATAACCTTAACCCCTCATTAGGGCCCATGGGTGGACTTGGTTCTAGGTGCTAATTTTTTGGTTGGCAGATTTTTGTGAGACTTTTGGAATACCAATCAATCCAGAGGACAATCAATGGAGAATATTACATCATTTAGTTTTGGTAACTACTCCATGTTTTATGTGGGGTATGAGTAGATTTTCTTGTTTTAAGATGAACAAACTAGTCCATTTCCTTTCTACCTCTAGAACTGATCCTAATCTCTGTTTGCATAAACATCCTTTACTAGAAGAGATTTTAGAAGTTTTAGATATCCTGCTGCCATGTCACTCGGAGATTGGACCTGATTCATCCTGGAATTCTGAGGAGATTTTCTGTACTAATTTCAGTGTCTCTGAGAACAGCTGGTTTTCCAGAAGATGACTCATCTTGGATTCACATATTGCTAGTGTTTACAGAACTGGGTTACACACCAGTGTTTGACTTTCTTCCACTCTTGTGTAGACGCTTGACTGCTGTGATCTAGAAAAGATCATCTTGCATGGATAACTGGTTGAAAAATAGATCTCAAATTATGATTTCTAAAAGTTTGTGAAAAGAGAAAGAAAAAAAAATGCTCAGTTCACATCTTCAGCCATGAGACCATGGTACCAGAGTAGATCCTGCATAGTTATGCTAAATCAGGGTTCACAGGGGATTTCACTCAGATTATATTTCTTTTGATCAAGACATTTAATCAATTTGCTTATGCTAGGAATTTTAATATTTATTTTATTCATAACATTCATAATGATATTTCCAGTAATTAGCATGGAATAAAGATTGTAAATTTTTATTTGTGGACGTCCAATTTGGACACAGAAAAGTAGAAAAGAGACAATGTCTTTAAATAATTTATTGTAGGCACATATATTTAATTATGAAGTAAGGCATAGTAGTGAAACCCTGAACAGAAGAGCATCACGAGACTAATTTTTCTTTGGCTAGTTTACTTTTCACACTATTTTATGTAGTACATATAAATTTTCTCCAATAATAAAAGCACAGTATATCAATCACATGAAAGCCAAAAAATGAAAAACTGAGAGGCATAGCTGTTTTTCCATGACTTGGTTGAGATTGGCAATGCAAGGCTTAGAAACCATAATTATAAAGACTGCCAAAGTCAGGGAATACATATAAGCTTACCTTTATCCCTACTCAGACTTGAGTGCTCAATTTTATATGAGACCATAGCTACCAAACAGGCCAAGTAAAATAAATTACATTTTTCCTTTACCTAAAATGAAGCAATTATATTTCAAGATTCTTGGATTTTTTTTCCTACTAAAGGAACAAATTTATGACCCTATCAACCTAATATAAGTTTGTCATCTAGATGGCTTTACTGTTGGCCGTAGCATTCACTTAGCTATGAATTATTGCTTCTTAACCTAAAAAGACACTGGCCATACCAGCGTATTGGGTTCCTATGCAATTTTCATGGAGCACATTAAATTTCTACTCCTTTTTAAAACAAACTAATATTTTCCTCACCTGGGAATATATCCTCTATTAGATTTTTGTCTGTAGAGCGAGCATGATGAGGAAACATTGGGGAATAACAGTTATAAAACTTAGAGAAATATAAAGGCCAATATCTGGATTTGGTTAAACTTTTCCCAGGACCTAGTTACAGTATTTGCTGAACAAATATTTGTTAAATGTCTGGCTATACATCGGACAATAAAGAGTCAGAGATGAATCAGATAAAATCGCCCGTTCTCTAGAAATCCCCAGTCTCTTTGAAGTCAATGTGGTTATATCAACAAATCAAGAGAGATGTTTGTAGAATATGTACTTCTGTAGAAATATGAATATACAGTGTGAAGATTCACAATGAGCAGGGTAATAGAGACATTCAGAAGGCATCCTTAAGAGATGACTTTGGGATATATTTTTGAGCCAGGAGAAGTCTAGCTGTCATGATAGAAATAATTATTTGATATGAGAAGGGATTGGAAGAATACACAAGAAAGGTGCAATGAGTACTTTGGCCAGAAATGACTTCTCCATGTTGGGCTGGACTGGTTCATTTGGGTCAACAGAATTTCTTAACCCAGAAAACACGATTAAGTCTAGGTAAAGAAAACACAATGTTCTGCTTTGTACTTTGGGGCTGTGGGATGTGGGTAATAGAGAGAAGAATTGTTATTAGGGGATATGTTTAATGACTTAGTTTCTGAGGCTTGTTTAAGTTTGAAAGGAATAAGAGTGAGCTGCAAGTTTAATCAAGTATTTCCATTTTCCTAAGATACCTCCCTGTGGTTTATGAGTGGGTTGTGATTCGGATGTGGAAGGATGTCAAATTTCCTTAATAAATACAAACTGTCAAAGGACAAGCCCTAAAAAGTCAGTTTCTTTAGTTTGTTCCAAAATGAAGAGATGATTCCATCATCCTTTTATGCTATATCATGGCTTCTATAAATATCTAGATGAATTAACAAGCAAGAAACATTCTAACTTTTGATTTGGTAACACACAACATGTCTTCAAAACTGGAAAGCTGCGAGCAACTGTGGTCAGTATGGTTCTATGATGGAAATACATCCTGTCTCTCTTCTTCAAACAGATAACACTGCAGGGGTATATGCCCGACGTGGAGGTTTCAGTCGACAGAAGCAGGACTTCTACCTCCTGCCCATCGTGATCAGTGATGGTGGCATCCCACCCATGAGTAGCACCAATACCCTCACAATCAAAGTCTGTGGGTGTGACGTGAATGGGGCACTGCTGTCCTGTAATGCTGAGGCCTACATCCTGAATGCCGGCCTGAGCACCGGGGCCCTCATCGCCATCCTTGCCTGTATTGTCATTCTTCTAGGTAAGAATTTCCCTGCTACATGGTACAATCAGTGCAGATCCTTCAAATGATGTATCCAGTACAGGGTGGCTATAAAGGCTGTACTGTGTTCATTCACAGAGTTTAAAACAAACCACAGGATGTGATGACTCTTGTGAATTCTATTGCATAATAGGTAGAACATCGGAATGGACACATTTTGCAGAAAGAGTCTAAGGAAGGTCATGATGAGCATTTTAGTTTCTGTCTCAGGACTGTAGGGCAGATTGCATCTCTAAGATCAAAGGACATGGGAGACAGTTGTTGTAACTAAAGAATTTGTTATCTGAGTGAGGCTTTGTCTAAATAAACAAACAAGCAGATAAATAAATATATAATAAAAATGGATGGAGAAAGATTCGGGAAAATGTAACAGAAAGAATAATCACTGCTGTGATGAATTGATGATGGAATAAGAGAAAACTCAGCCATCAGAAGCTGATCTCTAATTATTTGCAATAGCTATCTGCATGCTTCAGCTGATGGTGATGCCTGTGAGTTTCTCCTGTAGTTGCTGGTAGCCCTCACCAGGTGCTCATGCCCTAACATTTCAGAACCAATACGTGTTACGATAAAATTTCAAATCCAAGAAGTTGAACATCGTTTTATATGCTTACCATTGAAAGAATTAATAGGACCACTTCCATAGGAAATTGGGAGGGAAGTTGGTTCAATAGTTACTTAGTGTTGTCTGGGATTCAGACCTTTTGGAAAACCCTGAGAGATAGAAAAAGATGTGCTCAAAGTCTCTATGTTGGATGAATTTATAGCTTCTCAAGGAAAGAATTCACAATCAAATAGAGGCACAGAGTAGATTTTATGATTGGGACATGAGGTTCTATAGATATAGGTTAGAAAATGCCTAACATTGCTCAAGAACAGCAGACACATATTTCTAGAAAATGTGCATAAATTTCGAAAGCAGAATTTAACAGCTAAGGAAAGAGACTGGATTGTATGGGTGTTCCAGACAAGATGAAAGACTATCTTGGGACTTAATACTAGGCTGAATTAGACGCATAAATGAAAATACAGTAATAAATGCTATGGTGCAGAACTCAATCTCATGTCTGTTACGGGATACCAAGAAATATTCCCTAAATTAATGACAAACACAAACACAAATAAACAGCAGCAGCAGCAACAACACCCCCCACTAAGCTAAACAAACAAACAAACACATAAATGTGAAAAGGAGTGTTTTGGGATGATGACTATGCTACATATAAGTCATGGGGCTCTGGTGATATTGAGAAATCCGCAAAGTGCAGTCTCTCATCCTTAATCTCAGAACTGTGTAAACTCAAAGAAGCCCTCAATCCATTTGCCAAATGCAGCTGCAAACCCTGTTTTCCTTCCTGCTGAATGTGTGGGAGAGTCTTCCAACAAAAGATTGGTGGAACTTCCTGATAAGAGTGGGGAGGACACAGAATCAATAAAGAATTAAGAAGTGTCTAGAGCTCTGTATAAATGGTTGCTTGCTCTCACAAGTAAGTGCCCAGGCCTAATGGAATTCCTTTCTTTCCCAGAAATGACAGGATGGCTTCTCCTGCGCTTTTAAATGACACTGTTTTTATGTTCAAATAGGTAGTATATTTTTCTTTCTTAGAGTTTTATAGCTGTCCTCTTTCCCATCCTCTATGATAAGGTTTACTCTGTATTATAGAGTAGAACCTTAGGACAGGAGGCTTTTTTTTTTAATCTCAGAAAGTTTAAGTTCTGAGTTCTCTGAATGTTCTAATCCTAATCTAGGGGAAAACAGCGATGCTCATTTGCATGAAGAAAAATGAAGCAATAATTCTCACTGATCTTTAAGAGGAAGGTCAAATAGCATTGGGATTAATTTGTAAGGCATTCAAGATGATTCCAACCTGTCAGGTCACAGGGCATGATACCCTCAGGGCAGGTGGCGCATGTAGATAGAGGTCAGTTTGGAGTTCTTGGTGAGTTCTGGAAAAGTGATAGTTTTCTCACCATTCCAGGTTCTGAAGCAGAGCCCCTCTGGGAAGAGTAAGCAGGGAGGCTGGGCTTAACCTTTGCTGACTTTTTTTTTTTTTCTACAGTCATTGTCGTATTATTTGTGACTCTGAGGAGGCAAAAGAAAGAACCACTCATTGTGTTTGAGGAAGAGGATGTCCGTGAGAACATCATAACTTATGACGATGAAGGGGGTGGTGAGGAGGACACTGAAGCCTTCGACATTGCCACCTTGCAGAATCCTGATGGTATCAATGGATTTATTCCTCGCAAAGACATCAAACCTGAGTATCAGTATATGCCTAGACCTGGGCTGCGACCGGCACCCAACAGTGTGGATGTAGACGACTTCATCAACACAAGAATACAGGAGGCAGATAATGACCCCACAGCCCCTCCCTATGACTCCATCCAAATCTATGGCTATGAGGGCAGGGGTTCTGTGGCTGGGTCTCTGAGCTCCTTAGAGTCTGCCACTACAGATTCAGACCTGGACTATGACTATCTACAGAACTGGGGACCTCGCTTTAAGAAACTAGCAGATTTGTATGGCTCCAAAGACACTTTTGATGACGACTCTTAACAATAATGATACAAATTTGGCCTTAAGAACTGTGTCTGGCATTCTCAAGAATCTAGAAGATGTGTAAACAGGTATTTTTTTAAAACAAGGAAAGGCTCATTTAAAACAAGCAGAGTTTTACAGAGAGGAAACATTTAATAAAACTGCAAGGACATCAAAGTGGTAAATACTGTGAAGTACCTTTTCCCACTAAAAAAGCAAATATTGAAGTTGTTTATCAGCTTCATTAGAGAAAAACCACTTGGCACACACAATATTTAAATGAAGGAAAAGGCTACGGTGAACTTACAACGAAGGGAAATCGTCTATGTGTTCTGAACATCTAAGTCTCTCTTATTTTATTTTTTAATTTGTCAAAGAAGCTTCCACAAAATTAGAAAGGACAACAGTTCTGAGCTGTAATTTCGCCTTAAACTATGGACACTCAATCTGTAGTGCATTTTTAAACTTGAAATATATAATATCCAGCCAGCTTAAACCCATACAATGTATGTACAATACAATGTACAATTATGTCTCTTGAGCATCGATCTTGTTACTGCTGATTCTTGTAAATCTTTTTGCTTCTACTTTCATCCTAAACTAATACGTGCCAGATATAACTGTCTTGTTTCAGTGAGGAGCACCCTATTTCTATGTCATTTTTAATGTATCTATTTGTACAATTTTAAAGTTCTTATTTTAGTATACATACAAATATCAGTATTCTGACATGTACGGAAATGTTACAGCATCACACTTATATTTTATGAACATTGTACTGTTGCTTTAATATGAGCTTCAATATAAGAAGCAACCTTTGAAATAAAAAAAAAAGATTCTTTTTTAATTCTGGGTTTGATTCTTAACATTGAGAAAAAGGGTTTCTAATGATCCATTTATATTTCTAATTTAATTGTGATCTTTTAATAACCCTATTTATGATCTGTTATAGTCTGCTGCTTTGTTTGCTTATTTAAATCAAATATGTTCGAGTTTTTTAAGATAAGATTCTGTAACTTCATGTAAATTATTTTTTGTACATTCTGGTTTTACATTCTGGCTTTTCCTCAAGTATAACTTCTGAAGAAGGACCTTAGGGATCTAGACTAGCTTATGATTAGCCTATGATTTTACAAAGTGTTATATAATATGCATTTAACCTGTGAACTCATATTATGAGAGACAAATTTAGGAGGATTGTCAGACCTCTTGATGTTCTAGATATAGACTTGATACCCTCCCTTGAACATTGTAGAGTTGGAAGAGTGAATAGTCAAAACCGACACTACTCTGGTTTCCTTTATGTAAATTTTATTAGGATAAAGTAAGATGACTGGCAGTTGAAAGCGCTCATTTTTCCTCCTGTAATTTTATTTTGTCTTAAGATAATCTGAAACTTCAAGTCCTCATGAGTGAAAGGGAATTTTCCTTAGAGACCTTTATTTTAGAAGATGCTTTGGGCCATGTGCTCACAATGAGATCAGGGACCATGTTGAACACTGCAGGCTGAGGCCATTTGTTCTGTGCTATGTCACAGTCATCTGCAGTCGCCTAGTTTCCGGGGGATTGGAACTTCTGTGAAGGACTTTTCACTTGTACAGTGGACCAAAGGTCCAGACAAAGCAATACTTGGGGAGACAACACACAGATTCACACTGCAAACACTTCTCCTTTCATTGAAACACACGACACACTTTTTGTTTCTTGGATTGTGGACAATTTTGATTATCTTTTTTTTTAACTTTATTATGGTTATTTCATGACTCCCTCTTATATACTATTTTTTATGGCTCAGTCAAAATACATAGAAAAAGAAGTGATTTTTTTCTGATGTGCTCACTCCTTGTTTACTTTGCATTGAAATCAAATCAGTTGAATATAATTCAATGGGATAAACTCACTGGACACTGCCACCTTGGAATCCTTTATCCCAGGAAGAAATGTGCATTCTCAGTACTTGTGTAATTGTTGGTTGTGTTCAATTTTTTAGATAGACTTTGTAATCCAAAGAATATTTTGCTAGGTTTCTGAAGATCTCCACCTGAATTTGAAATGACTGAACAACTCTAAAGGAAAATGAACATCACTTACTCAGCTGCAAGTCACCCCATACCCACCATGATCCATTTTACTTATAGAGCAATGTAGTCAGACCAGAGATGACAACTCCATTTCCACATTTTTATGTCAAAGATCTTTTTTCAGGATTGTCTACTTTTCAATAGTTTAAAAAAAACTTGCTTTTCTTTTTCTTTCTCCTTTTTCTTTTCTTTTTTTTACTTTAAGGCTCTTAATGTTGTAGAACCCTCTAGAAGCTTGGAAATAAAATGTCTTTCCCAACTCATGGAATCCTTTTTTATTTGGAATACGTTGCCTTGAAAGCAATCTTATCTGAAGCAGCCCTTCCTTATTTGGATATAAAGCAATCACAGCTTTAAGAGATTGACACACACATACACAGAAAGGAATGCTGCTCTGTTCTGCTTGTCCTTGCATAATGGGTACAGTATTGTCTTAGTCTATCATTAATTCATTCATTCATCATTCATCAATTTCCTGATGCATTCATTCACCAAAATCTAGTGTTGGATGCCCTGCAGTAGCTACTTCAAGCTGTAAAATAATCCTTGCTACCATTTTTTACATTGTTTATTCTTGCCAATTATAGTCCAAAGTACCTTTTTAAATTGTCTTCTGTTCACCTGTTTGATGTTTTGGTCACCCACCTCTGCAAACAACTCATTGCTGAGGGATGCAGTGTATGATGGGGTAAGAGATGATAAGACAGAGTGTACGTTCTTTACAGCTGTTATGGGCAGAGATCCTGAGGATGATGTGGAAATATGAATGCAGATTATATCTATTGGGGAACTTCTTAATGGTATTGATTCATAATTCCCAGTGAACACAGCTCTCTAAGTCGGGTGGAATGTGGTTTAGAGTGTTAGACACTTCCCTACTTTTCTAGTATCCTTACAGTTCAGTCAAAAGAGACATAGAGCAATTGGGCTGCTGAAGAAAGAGTGCCACACGTTATGGGACAAGCAGTTCAGGGCAGATGAGAAGCGTATATGTTCTGAAACAGGACTTATATCTTTAGGAAGTTCAAAATAATATACCCTGGGATTGTGGAATTCTGTCCATCACAAATGGAGGAGAGGAAAGAGCTTCTTCTGTTCAAACACTGCTAGGCAGATCTGTGCTGCTGTTGGCTGTGACTTGTAAGACTGACTTTTCACTCTTGTTTTTTTTCTTCACAGAGAAGCGACAATGTTATTTTGTGGAAATAACTCAGGTCACTGGGCTCCATAAACTTAAATGCCCTTTTTGTTTTCCCAAAAATTTTAAATGAATTTTGATTCCTTTGCTTTATTGTTCTATGAGGCTGAGACTCTGTAAATCTCTTCAATTTTGTCTTAGCCCATCGTTTTGTCAATGCTCGGCGAAGCAACCACATTGACTACTTTTTAGTTCTCATATAGATAAAATGTGTTTCTCTTTACATGATCAGTTAATGGTCAGTTTCCATCAGTGCTCAATCATTGAAATTACTTTTTTAAAAGCCTTTATTCCTTGGGCTCTCTGATCATCTATGAGAATGTATGAAGAAGGCAGTATTCTTGTTTTATTGTCATGAAAGAAAAATAAATATTTGCTATGGATGACAGCACACCATTATGAGTTGAAAATCCCTTTTCTAAAAAATTTGGTCTACTCTGACCTTGATACCTGAGTCTATTATGAAAAAAAATGAGATTGGAGGAAAGAAGTTGCATTAAATTTAGGGAGTCGTTTGAATTACAGATGTAAGAGCTAGGATAGTGACGAGCAGGAACTTTAAAGCACAAGTGTGTAGCACTAGCTAGAGAAGCAGGGAATGTGCACAGCTTGAGGAAATATTAAGTGGGCACTCAAACTCAGCATTTTCTTCTAATTGGCTTTCATAGTCTCTCCCAACTTTAGAAGAACATTTCAATTAGGATAGGGTCCTCTTGTTGTCAAGAGCAATGCAGATTTCACTTTTATTAAGATAGTTAGTACATATAAAATTGACTTTGCATATAAAAGACTTTGAAAATTAGAAAGGGATTATGACATAGTATGTTGCTTTTTCCTTAATATTGGAGAGACTTTTGAAGTCTCTTATACTATGGGAGTCATGTACTAACATGTAAGCACATACCTTCTTTCTGTGGAACCTGAAAGCATGTGCTACAATGATGGACATTGCAGTTTAAAGGATAAATATGTCCCCAAGTGAATGACAGAATTGACGTGAAGTTTGCATAAGAGAGAGTCTCAGCTCTCTCACATTAAACAGGAGTCCCATCCTTTAAATTTAGGCAGAAGAAGTCACTGGAAATGGATGTTCCTAGGAATTGGTAGGTTAACAAATACATCGAGGATGAGAACGTGGAAGGAGTTGGAGACTTCCTCTCATTCATTTGCTTCATTTATTATGTGTAGTTTAAGAATATACTGGCATTAAACCTTAGAGGACTCAGCTGTCTTCTAGGTCCAAAGTGGCTTAGGAGGCAGAATTGTGATTTGTGTTGCTAGACATTCTATCTGTAAATTTTAAAATTACAAAATCAAATAGAAAGCAGAGCAGTTAGATGGCCTATAGGTGTTCATATTCTGTTTCATAGAGAAATCTGATGGTTCACATTTTTATGGAATTAAAATATATAAAAGCAAAGAAATTTCCTCACCAGAGGTCCTGCAAGTTTTTGGTGGGGGAGAGAACACTTGCAGTCATATCCTTAAGTGGAAAGTCTTTGTCTCCTATGGCTGAAGAATTACTCCATTATTTGTAATGACCTTCAGAAAGTATTGGTCATAACTGGGATTTCTCTCACTGGTTCAGAGGCAAAACACATTAAGGCTCAGGATTCATAGGGTTCAATTCTTTAGCAAAAGTTTAAATACAGTCTATCCCATAGCAGATGTGATTGGCTTTCAATCCTATCTATAAAAAACATCACAACATATAATACCTTGGTGACTTCAGGTGCGTATCTTGACCTGTCTGAACTTCATTTCTCCAAATGTATGTTATAAATAACAGTATCTAGTTGGTCAGTAGTGGGAAAAAACAAAATTAGCAAACTCCTGTCTCTTGATCTAAGAATTCCCAGGATTCACTAGAAGGTAGAAGTTGCCTTGTAAAATGCCTTTATTTTTTTATCACCTCAGGCTCTTGAACAATGAGAGGGAAGATTCACTCCTCGGGCATCTAGTTTCCACCTGTCTTTATAAATCAATTCATTTTCATTTTTTTTCTTGCTCCTGAATCTAAACAAGTAACAGATGTCTGTCTTGACCCAATCATAGATTGGTTTAGACAGAGAACTGACTGACAGTGCTCCAACACCAAAAGATAAGAAGAAAGCAACAAAATAATTACTTTTTCAGTGGATACATGGAATTTTGTGTAAGCTAAGTAGTATAATACTGCAAAAGAAGAATATAAAATCACTATTAAGTATTTTTTCAGACTATAAATTGACATGTCTATGAAACACACACACACACACACACACACACACACACACCTGTGTGTGTATGTCTGTGTGTCTCTGTGTGTGCATTGATGCTATCCTTTCTGTGAAGAAACATTTAAAAACATTTGAAGAGGAAGTATTTATTTTGCTCAGTTTCAGAGGTCAGTTTACGGCAGGGAGGATGTGGTATAACAGAATAATTCATGTCTCAGCAGTAAGAAAGCATAGCAGGAGCCACAACACGAAAGGATCAGGGAAAGACAGAGTCCCAAGGATACATGCCTAGTACTCTACTTCCTTCAATAATGCTCTACATGACATAGTCTTATGTCCATATTTGCTA